GAAATAAGATACTGGACGAAAGTTAAGGAACGATGTTAATAATTTGCATAAACTTTTAATTTACATTGTAAAAAAAACTCGATGGAGCTTTTCAACAATAAGTAAAAAGTTCATTTATCATTAGGACTTTTTTTTTTAAGCAATATGGCAAATTCTACACGCAAAACGCTCTCTTTTGAAGAAAAAAACTCATTATCGCTAACTATCAAGAAAAAAAAGTAAATTTCAGAAATTTCTGATATTGTTCATAGGTCTAAAAGTGTCGTTCATCGTGTAATTAGCAGGTATAAAAAAACGTTAGATGCAAAACCAAAAACCGGCAGACCTCCAAAAACATCGCAAAAAGAAGATCGAAGAATTGTTAGAATATCTACAAAAAACCGTTTTGAAACTGCTACATCAACTGACCGTAAATTCAATGAAGAGACAGATAAGATCTCAAGGAAAACGGTTGCTCGCAGGTTAAAAAAATGCAAGATTGCATGCCCGTATTCCAGCTTCGAAGCCTCTCATTTCAAAGCAAAACCAAAGGGCACGCCTGGAGTAGCGAGAGAACATGTTGTTTGGACTGACGCACAATGGGATACAGTTCATTTCAGTGACGAGTCCAAGTTTACTATATTTGGTTTTGAGGGCAAAACTTACGTAAGCCGTAGAACAGGTAAAAGACTGTCTTCTCAATGTGTCAAGAAAACCATTAAGTTTGGTGACGGCAGTGAGATGGCGTGGGGAATGATTTCATCTACAGGAGTTGGCCCTATCATCCGCGTATATGGCAATATCAATGCTGAGATTTACAAAATGCTTCTTCAGCAGAATGTGGTACCAAGATTACACCATAATCTTTATGAATCTCCTATTTTCATGCAGGACAATGCACCTTGCCACAAGGCTCAGAAGGTTATGGCTTTATTTGAAGAAGAAGGAATCGCCCTAATGAAGTGGCCAGCCCAGAGCCCCGACCTGAATCCAGTAGAAAATGTTTGGTTGGCATTTGTAAAAGTACTACAGTAGAGTGTTTCTCTCGTAATACACAGGAACAAAACTAGCTATAACTTTCATTTTACAAATGCCACCCATATATATATATATATATATATATATATATATATATATATATATATATATATATATATATATATATGTGTATGGAGGTATGTTTGTATATGTAAATATATATATATATACATATGTGTGAGTATAAATATATAAGTATAGGGTATGTTTAGATACTAACGTTATTTTTGTGCTAGGTATCGTTATATATATATATATATATATATATATATATATATGTGTGTGTGTGTGTGTGTGTGTTTTACATATGTGTGGATGTATGTGTATAGATGTGTATTTGTGCATGTATGTAGATGTATGTGTATATATGTATATGGTATGTATATGTACGGATATATATGCGTGTACATGTATTTATATATGTGTAGTATTTTGAATATTAAATTACTTGTAATCTGTATATGTATATATATTTATATACCTTAAAATTAATATTTGTAATATATATGTGTGAATGGGTGTATAACATTGTAATATAAATACATATGCATGTGTGGATAGTTATGGGTAAAATCCTTTTCATATGCTTCTTTGTGTATATGATCGTATGTATATATGTAAGTATATGTTTTTATGTATGTATGTGTGTGTATGTCTATATATATAGTTGTATATGTATATAAGGGTGTGTATGTGTATATGAGTATTCCTATAAGTATATGTGTATATATAGATGGATGGATAGTTAGATAAATATATAAATAGATTGCTAAATATATATATATATATATATATATATATATATATATATATATATATATATATATATATATACAAGTATATAATTGGTATATACAGAATGAATTCAATAACCAACAATTACTATTCTTAAAAGGGTGCTCAATACAAAGTAGAGCAAATATAATTTTTTTTATAAAAAAAAAATTATAACATAAGTATATTATAAAATCACTACAAAAATAGCCATTTTATTTTCCAACAACTCTGTGTCTTATCAAGTGATGATGTTGAAAGAAAATAAATTTATTTTCTTTTCAACATCATAACATACTTATGGAAACAATAATGGCTATTTTTTTTTTATAAAAAAAATATATATATATATATATATATATATATATATATATATATATATATATATATATGTATGTATGTATGTGTGTATACGTGTATGGATTAGTTTTATATGGAAGTACTTGGGTCATTCTAATGGTATTTTAAATTTACTCTTTTTAATTTTTAATATTTAATATCACTTTCTCTTTTAATGTTCTATAATTAGAATTTTGAGAGTGTATTTTTATCTTCTTAAGGGAGTTTCATTTTAAAATTAATAATAAATATACCACTCTTTAACTATTAATAGTAATAATAATATTAACGAAATTCCTTTAATAATGAGGCATTTCAGAAGTCACCTAAAGTTAACTTTAACTATAGAATCAAACTAAAATCTAAATAAATTTCAAATATTAAAATATAGGTAATGATTGAGAAATGTATATATATATATATATATATATATAATTTATGTATGAAGATGGATGAACATTTGTGTATATTGTTACAAGTGTGTCTATGTGTGTATTTGAACATGTTATGGTACCTTAAAGTGGTCTGTTTTTCATTAAATATTAGCTCTGTATTCACATTGAGCTCTCAAGATTTCATCCTCCTTGGAATTACCCATTCAGTTTACCAAGTTCTTTAACTTAACTATATATATATATATATATAATATATATATATATATATATATATATATATATATATTCTTTCAGACGTGTTGTTGAAAACTACGGAACTTTTTCCGTTTGATGATCTTTTCAATTTTTTCCTGCTTTCTCGCAAGTTTTTTTTTTTTAATGTTTGGGTCTAAATTTTTAAAGTAGGACCCCAGTCGATGATTTTCTGCCGAGCGCTTTCCGTTATCTTCAACTGTCATCATGACGTATGTTTTGGTTTGAAAATAGTTTGTTGTTTTAATTTTATAGATAATATTAGACGATATTCTTGGGTTAGTTCATTATTGATAAGGAGGGGCTTGATGTTTGGTATTCGAGGATTAGTTATCAAATATGTTTAATGTGTTTCTGCCAGTATTAAATGCTATTTTATTTATGTTAGAATTATGGTTTTTGATGAGGATGGCTTCCAGAATTTGTAATCGTTGTTTTTTTGCAGTTGTTTTTACAGAGGATTTTGGTGTTGTTAATTAAGATTTTTTGTCGGGTGATTCGAATTAAGATTTTTTGTCCGATGATTTGAACCGGTTACTGGTGGTGCTATGTATTGTTATAAGATGATTTATTTATGGCGCTGGTGTCATTAAATTGCTATGTGAGCCTACATGAAAGAGTTGTGGTCGTGTGTCCGATGTATGTTTTACGGTTATTATATAAGAAGCATTCTCGAAAAGGGCCAGTAAACCTATACACTACATTGATTTTATTGAGGAACAGTTTGGTGGGGGTAGTATTATTTCGGACGATTATGTTACGGGTTAGTGTAGTATGTTATTAATTTTATTTGTTTATATCGTTGGACGTGTTTAGTGTATCTGTAGATGGTGTTAGTTATAGTTAGTACATCAAGTTTATAGTTGCAGTGCATTTGATTTTTAAAGAAGAGTTTAATAATGTTATTGTTTTAGTCTTTTTTTTCTTTGTTATTATTATGAATATTTGAAAGGTAGTGTTTTATATGTTGGTCAAGTAATTTACACATGCTTGAATAACGGCATGCTGCAAAATATACATAAATTTTTCTCCCCGGAATCGATACTTCAAATATACAATTCACCCATTCGCCCTTGCATGGAGTATTGCTGCCATATATAGTCTGGTGCACCTTCTGTTTACCTCGGTGTTCTTGACAAAATCCAGTGACGGATATGTAATATAATTGGTCCTGATCTGGCATCTCGTCTACAGTTGCTCTTTCACAGACGCGCCGTCGCCTCTCACTGTCTTCTTTAGAAGTACTTTCATGGTAATTGCTCCGATGAGCTGCTTTCACTGGTTCCCAGACTTCATGAATTCAAGCGCCCTACGAAGATGGCATCCCGCTCTCACCTTTTCACTCAAACTTTTAAATGTAGCCGTCTCTTCTACTCCAATAGCTTCATGTCTCGCACCTCTTGCCTGTAGAACACCCTTCCCTATTCCAGTTTCCCTGAGAGCTATAATCTCCAACTATTCAAATGTAATGTCAATCGATATCTCCAGTTACTTTGATCTATCCACTATCCCTCTCCTCATCCTTTCTTCTATCACTCCTATCTGCTCTCGCTCCAAATCTTCTGCAACCCCCTGCATCCTAGTGGCTTCCCGCCTTGCTCGGGGAGTAATGCTTAAAAAAAATATGGTGGACTCTCTCGTCGTATTCGACGAATGAGGGCAAAGCAACAGCTAGACAACAGCACATATGATTTGATTATAGTGGTGAAGACTTTGTGCAGAACCAAGTAGACTTTTTGAAGGACCAAATACAGTGATCTGGTTCACTACATGTCACAAAGACCCCAAACGACCCTCCATAGGTTTTGAATTCAATGTTGTCCTTCTCCTTGACCAGTTGCTTTCCAAGGCTATAGAACCCAGTCTCTCTCTCTCTCTCTCTCTCTCTCTCTCTCTCTCTCTCTCTCTCTATATATATATATATATATATATATATATATATATATATAAAGAAAGAACAGTAAGATATATAATCCGGTGTACTTATAGATATTTCTATCTTTACAAAATAGTGCTCAATGTAAATTTACAGAGCATTAATATTATAAATTAACTGATTAAATATGTTTTTTTCGCTACACAGTTTTAACCATGTTTCAAAAATGGAAGCTAAAAGCTTTGAATTTAATTTTGTAATTAAATTAAAAACATTAGTTCTATTTCATCCTCAAGCGAATTTTGGAGTAACTTATTTTAAATTTACTGAGTTTTATGTCGATGTCGATGTCTATCTATCTATCTATCTATCTATCTATCTATTTATTAAAGACATTTTTATGTTTAACGTTGTTATTTATAGATACAAGTATTTAAGCAAATGCTCTGTTTATGATAAACAGTATTAAATAACATTTACCGGCCTGAATGTCAAGGCACGTCAGCGTATATGACGGTTCCGTATAGGATGCAGATTCGAATCCTGTCAAAGAACGAATATTTTCTATGAAAATTTCTCGGACATTCAAGCCGGTAAATGTTATTTAATACTGTTTATCATAAACAGAGCATTTGCTTAAATATTTGTATCTATAAAAATAACAACGTTAAACATAAAATGTCTTTATTAAATAAATTGTCGGACCTTGTCCATTTATATATATATATATATATATATATATATATATATATATATATATATATATATATATATATGTATGTATATATAAATAAAAAGAAAGAACAGCAACATATATAATCCGGTGTTCTTATAGATATTTTTATTTTTACAAAATAGTGCTCAATGTAAATTTACAGAGCATTAATATTATAAATTAATTGATTTAAAATATTTTTTTTCGCTACACAGTTCTATCCATGTTTCAAAAATGGAAGCTAAAAGCCCCGGATTTAATTTTGTGATTAAATTAAAGACATTAGTTCCATTTCATCCTCAAGCGAATTTTGGGGTAACTTTTTAAAATTACTGGGTTTTAAATACACAGCTAAAACAAAATTCATGTTTCCAAGGTTACAGATAAATCTATTTTTCTAGACATGGGTGGCTGTGTTTTCAATATGTCTATAATTTAATGTATCAGTTATTGCTACGTTTGGGTCGTGGGAAGGGATGTATTTTTCAATGAAATCTAACTTCCGTTAAACCCTGTCGTCTAGATTTTTTAAAAATTATATTGTTAACGGCTAAAATTCTTACGGCATTTTTTCTTTCGTATATTTTAAGATTTTTTTTTATGTCGAGATATATACATGGTGCAATGGGTAAATAGTCGGCACGTTTTGTTTTTAATTTTGTGAATGCACGTTGTTTGTAGTTTTTTTTATTTTTATTTTCTCGACTGCACAGTATAGTAAGGTCCGTTGTGTAAGAAAAAGAGCACCATGACGGAATTTACTCCACCAGAAATTTGGAAACTGCATGCCGTACTGCTTGACATTCAGACCGAAAGCTCCAGTCCGAACATTTCAGAGTCTTTCGGTGTCAATCTGAGGACAGTGCAGAGGATTCGGAAATATTTGAATGAGTGTAATGGTGAAGGCACAGCGGTTCGAAAAAGAAACTCTGATAAGAAAAGAACTCCCGAATTTGTTGATGAGGTCCTCGCACGCAGCACGAACACCTTGAGTAGGTAGTGCTACCCCGAGTCAAGAGGGTGGCTGCTGGAATATCCTATGTCTGGCAACAAGACTCTGCACCATGCTACACAAACAGGATGGCAATTTATGCGATCATGTCACCCCTTAAATCTGTCCACCAAAACCCCAAGGCTGCAACCCCCTTGGATATTATGTTTGGGGTGCAGTTGAGCGCGCGACCAACAAAACTCCTTGTAACACCAAAGATGAACTGGGAACAAGAATCATGGCAGCATTCACCAACTGAAGCAGGGAGACCGTTCAGAGTTGCAGGAGATTCCGAAGTCGTCTTGAGTCCGTAGTTAAGTCAGTGGAAATTATATTGAATAAATTTACTCTTTAATATTTTAAGCTATTTTTGTGTAATTTTGGCAAACATATACGTTTAAATGAGATATCAGCGCTACTTTCATTTTTTTTTGTGTCATTTAGACGACAATTTATCCATCGCACTTTGTAGATCTCGAGATACTCGACGAAAATCCAAACAAGGATCTGTGATGTTATCGGTCCTGACCTGGCATCTCGACTTCAGTCGTGACGTGGCTTCCCTCTGTCTTTTCTATAATTATTTTAATGATAATTGTTCTGATGAGCTCTACTCTTGGTACCTCGAGTGCATGAATTTAAGCATACGATTTAATTGTTAAATTAATTTCATCGATTTATTGATGAATTAGATTGACGTAACCGTAAATTATATTCTGATAGTTTCTTTTCTCGCACTCCTCGCCTGTGAAATTTTACGGTCCACAAAAATTTAAATCCAACATCAATCGCCATTCTTTTTCATTCGCAGTAACCACTTGCATCTTAGTGGCATAATCGCCTTGCTTTGGTTGAAATGATCAATACATACATACATACATATATATATATATATATATATATATATATATATATATATATATATATATATATATATGAATTATTCACACAAAACTAATGCAAGGTTAATGATTTAAATGGCAGACATCCATCTCATAAACAATTCAAATAGTACATAAAAACCTCCAGATCCGTTATGAATGAATTGATCCTTGTTTTATATAAATTTCTGCCGTATTAGTTGTTATTTTTACTACAAGCTTTCGTCTGTATCTATTATATACCTGAAGATGTCTGTAGGAACAGACGAAAGCTTGTAGTAAAAATAACAACTAATACGGCAGAAATTTATATAAACAAGGATCAATTCATTCATAACGGATCTGGAGGTTTTTGTGCACTATTTAAATTGTTTGCGAGATGGATGTCTCGCCATTTAAATCATTAACCTTTGCATTAGTTTTGTGTGAATAATTCATGTATTTGTAAATTGATTGCACGTTTATTGTAATTTAAATAACTGATCCATGTGCGACTTTTGGTTAATAAGTGCGACATTACTGTAATTATTGAACAATATAGTTCATGCCACTTTGACAGTAAAATTTACCAGTAAAATAATTTGTTCATTACCATATTTGGTATAAACGCAAACACTTTAAAAATTTAAAATCAAACTCAGCGTTGCTTTGGCGCGTTCAAAAACCAATAACTCATTTTCAATAGCATTTCGGATACAATACACATATATTTTCAATGTCCTCTTATTACTAAGAGAAAAAAACAAGAACAACATCTATTATATACCTGAAGATGTCTGTAGGAACAGACGAAAGCTTTTCTTAAAAATAACAACTAATACGGCAGAAATTTATATAAACAAGGATCAATTCATTCATAACGGATCTGGAGGTTTTTGTGTACTATTTGAATTGTTTGCGAGATGGATGTCTCGCCATTTAAATCATTAACCTTTGCATTAGTTTTGTGTGAATAATTCATGTATTTGTAAATTGATTGCACGTTTATTATAATATATATATATATATATATATATATATATATATATATATATATATATATATATATATATATAACAGATATGTTTGCCAAAATTATACAAAAAATAATTTAAAGTACTAAAAGAGTAAATTTATTCAATAAAATCTCCATTGCCTTCAACTACGGACTTCAGTGGCACTGAAGAACTGTGATACAGCAAAACAGTACCGTCTGCGAATGACATTTTAAAATAGAGAAAATTAGAAAGATTATATTTAGTGAATTTAAAAATCTAAACTTAAAAATAACACTCTGTACTAAATTGAAAAGGGTAAACTTTCTCGACGTAACTTTAGATTTAACAAACAACACATACCAACCTTATAAAAAACCAAATACTAACCCCTTATATATACACCCGAAGTCAAACCACCCACCATCTATAATTAAACATATACCCTCATCAATAGAGAATAGAGTCAGCATTAACTCCGCTAATAAAGAAATATTTCAACAACACAGTAACTTTTATCACGCAGCCCTAAAAAATAGTGGACACAAAAATGATAACATAAATTATAGAAACAATTGTACTAACCAGAAAAAAAAAACAGGAAAAGAAAAATCATTTGGTATACCCCTCCGTTCAACCAAATGGTTAGTAATAAGCTAGGACAGAAATTCCTAGCTTTAATTGAAAAACACTTTCCTACAAATAGAAGACTTAGTAAAATATTTAATAAAACCACCCTAAAATTAAGTTACAGCTGCACTGAAAATCTAGAAAGTCTAATAAAAAAACACAATAATAAAATCCTGAACAAACCCCCATGCTTGAATAGTATTAATAAAAACCCTACACTTAAATTAGACAAAAATAGTGAAAATTATGTGATTGTAGAAACCCAGAAGACTGCCCAATGCTGCGTAAAATCTGTGGTATACCAATGTATTATCTCATCCATTGAGAGAACTAATACTAATATGATATACATTGAGTCTACGAAGAATGAATTTAAAACCAGATGGAGACAGCATAAGTGTTCTTTCAACAATATAAATAAAAAAAATCAGACATCTCTAGCTAAATATTTTTGGCATTTGAAGCAAATGAATAAAACACCAAAAGTAAAATGGAAAATTATAAGCAAAACTAGAACTTGTAAAACTTGGGATGACCCATGCCCTTTATGCCTACATGAAAAATTACACATTATTAAGTTTCTAAATAATAAAAATCTATTAAACAATAGACATGAGTTAACGGTTTTTTGCCGACATCATCAAATTTTTGCATTGAATAATTATCATAAAAACAAACAATAAAATAATTTTTAAAATCCATAGTCCTAATAAATAGTTTAAATGCCTTACAAAAAACATAACCCTTTATGAAGTCGTCAAAAAACAAATGTTAGCGATTTACGACAGTTTTTATATATATTAAATTTAGACACCCCAAACTTGCCCTGACTTGACATCAGTGAATGTAACTGAGATATTGATGCAAATTATTAACACCTTACGCCCCTTTTCTTAAAACAATTGCTCTAGCCGTTACCATAGAAATTTTGATTTCAATAATGAATATGCTTATAAAACGCGTAAATTTCAGAAATAAGTTATTCAAAATAAAAAAAAAAAATTCGCTTGAAGATGGAACAGAGCTTAGTACTTTAATTCAAAAAATTATATTGAAGTTTTCGGCTCTTGTTTTGAAACATGAGAACTCTTATGTAGCGTGTTGGAATCATATTTTTAAATAAATAATTATATTTATGCTCTACTTTTGTATCGAGCACTATTTTTTAAAAATAATAACAAAAATACTAAATAACTTTGGATTATTTACCTAACGAGTTCTTTCCTATTTTCTTTATATATTTTTCACACACACACACACACACACACACACACACACATATATATATATATATATATATAGATGTGGCCTGACGATTGCATATAGCATGAAACAGACTGTCGCCTCTAAGTGTTGACTTCTATGTACACTTTTATATTCACACGCTCTATCTCTGATATTGAGCACTTTATTCCATAAATGTAGCACACCTTAAGACTATATTTCTTTATATTTCTTTATCTGTATATATATATATATATATATATATATATATTGACCACTGATATTATTAATTTTTATATAGAAATATATATAAATATATATATATATATATATATATATATATATATATATATATATAGAGAGAGAGAGAGAGAGAGAGAGAGAGAGAGAGACAGGCAGAGAGATATATACAGGTTGACAGAGAACCAGAGAGAGAGACAGAGAGAGAAAGAAATAAAGAATGTGAGCAAGGAAGAAGAGGTGATCTGTGTGCTTTAATAATAATATTTATGTTCCGGAAAAGGCTGAATGTTTCGTCGTGAATCTAACCTCCCCCCCCCACAAAAAAATTAAACTCCATTAATTTGGGGTAATTTTGGTAGCTATCATTTTGGGTGAGGCTATGATTCATTGGTGGTGTTTTAATAACTCAACTCTGTGTAGTTGGCTAATTTCAACATTTTTCTTCAACATTTCTTTTCGCGTACCATCTGTTTTTATCCCGGAAAAGTTAGCCGAAAGACCATTTAATATATCTCAACTATTTCCGGATTATAAGCTTTTTCCCGGTGGCCGATTTCCTTCTATTTGGTGGCAATTTTCTACTTCCATACACAACCACACACTCTCTCTCTCTCCTTTTTATTCTTCTGTCACTCGCATGCACTCTATCTCTATCTCTCTCACATGCATACACATATATACATATATCAGCCATCAGGTAATTAATGCGCGAAATCTGACATCGATAAATTGATATTTTCTCTCAAACAAAATACTAATAATATATATAAGTCATTTTAAAGTAATTAATAGACTTTTAATTTACCATTATGTCTTATAACCGTAAACGTTATATTTAGTGTAGAGGCGTATTTCACAGGGCATCATTTATTTATTTAATCAGTCTGATTGACATCTAAAGTCGCGTTACCCTTAAATAAAAGAAAAAAAAAGTACCTGTAAGTGAGGTGTGTTTTAAAACTTCCAGCAACGAAAGACCTCAGCGAAAAGCAAGGCTAAAATACCCTTCTCGTTCAGGCCTTTCCAAGTCGATATATGATAACTTTATTTTCGCACCCGTTCGTGAAAAAATTTAAATATCTGGGGAAATGCTCCGACAGGGGACGGAAAGTGCGACACTGAGTATAGGATATGATGCAATTTCCCGTCAAGGAAAGTTCTAGAAAAATCGGATCAACCTTGGCGCAATTCTTGATATATAAAAAATGCCTATGCACGATATCTAAAAAAAACAAAAAAAGACTCGATCACATATTTTGACCAATCGGGTTTACAAAAAATACCTGGTCGCTTCTTAAGAAATTTGTGGAGCTAACGCGCGTTTGTGGGATCTCATCAGAAAATTTTAAAAAAATGAGAATATATTCAAACCGTTTCAAAACAGTTTACTTGTCCGGCAAGTTGAACACAACTCTGTCTCTCCAGCAGCCCGCTCCATACAACTGTGCCTCGCTGCATCCCGCTCCATACGACTGTGCCTCGCCGCACCCCGCTCCATACAACTGTGCCTCGCCGCACCCCGCTCCATACTACTGTGTTTCACCAGCAGCACGCTCCATACAACTGTGTCTCGCCGCAGCCCGCTCCATACAACTGTGTCTCACCAGGAGCACGCTCCATACAACTGTGTCTCGCCGCACCCCGCTCCATACAAATGTGTCTCACCAGGAGCCCGCTCCATACAACTGTGTCTCGCCGCAGCCCGCTCCATACAACTGTGTCTCGCCGCAGCCCGCTCCATATAACTGTGTCTCACCAGCAGCCCGCTTCATACAACTGTGTCTCGCCGAAGCCTGCTACTTTGACCTCAGAATGAACAGTATCAAATTACAATTCTCAACTTGGCGATAATGCTTTTAACGCCACACGGGTGCTGTTATTTCTCTATAACACGCAGAGACTTAAAAAACTGAAAAAAAACATGAGCGGTTAATTTTTGTTATCAGATATTTCCACAAGTTTTTGTGTTGTAAAAAGAAAATGAAATTAAAACTTCTTTATTTTGTAGCACTCATGTTAATGATTTTCTATTAACATTAGTAGCATTCGAAGACGTATTGTGATGGCCAAAGACGCATTCCAAAAGCTAAGCAAAGTATTACGAGACAGGAAAGTTTCGTTAGAAACAAAGAAAACAGTACTGAACTCTTACGTGATGTCTTGCTTTATGGCAGCGAGTGCTGGGCAATCTCCTCAAAGATGAAGAAGAGACTCGAGGCAACAGAAATGTGGTTCTACAGAAGGATGCTAAAGATCCTATGTGCCAAACATGTGAGCAATGACAAGGTTTTAGAGAGAACAGAAACAAAGAGGAACTTATCCTTAATATCAAGAAGAGGTAGATGAAATTTCTGGGATAGGTAATGAAGAAGGAGGGCTTGGAAAATCTGATACTCACAGGACAGATAGAAGCAAAGAGGGACATGGGAAAACAACGCATGACATACTTAATTGGCTTGAGCAAGTGGATGGCGAAACAGGTTCTGGGAGAAATAACAAAAAGTCAAAACTTTTAGGAGCTATAAGAGACAGAACGAGGTGGAGGGCCATGACTGCCTACATCCTGAAGAGACATGACACATAAAAGAAGAACGTAAAGAAATTAATTTCAAAATAATTCATACATTTTTTTTAATTCGACGTTATTTCTTAGTAATATAAATATTCAGGTTTGATCCCTGCCCAGAAGCACATTTCTTTTATTAAGACTTTCGATTGCCCAAACCGGTGGGCATCAACTACATTGTTAGAAAAACACAATGTATTTTCCGGATATTTGCGAGTTTTGGTGATCAGTTTTACGCAAAATAAATAAATAAATAAATAAAAAATAAAAAAATAAATAAATAAAAATAGGTGACTGTACTATACACAGGAATTCTTTTTTAAGAGGTCGAGCATCGCGTATTTTTTGTGGCCCGTTGCAAAACAACGTATAACTTACCTCGTGGATGGCGGAGCAAGGCTTAAGTGAGATAAAAAAAAAAAGTCAAATTTTATTAAGGGTTACGAAGGACAGGAAATTATGGAGAGCCATGATCGCTAATATCCTGCAGGAAAAGAAGTAGAAGAATATGAATTATATAGTTTACAGTCAAACCAAACTTCACTTATACAAAAAAAAAGAAAAAGAAAAAGAAAAAGAAATCATAATAGCTCTAAAGGTAAGATTAACCATACAGTCACCAACAGTCACTTTCGATACATGACTGACGAGGCAGACATTTCCCTCAGTAGGTTGCCATTCATTTCTGCAGTAGACTGGTTGCCATCCAAGTCTAAAAAATCCAGTCTGTCCTGCTATTTAATCCATAGCTGGGGGAAAAGAGATGGATTCATACCTTTCCCAAGGGTATTTGTGCGTAAGTGAATCTAACGAACACGGATGGAATTCGAACTCGGCTCTCCGAGTTCTCACTCCGGGCCGATATCTATTACTCCACAACACATATCCTTCCTTCCTTCCTTCCTACTTTTACTATATATGCACTGTAATTACCAAAAGGGTGGAATCACAAAATACATCGATAAACTCATAACAGGCACATAATATTTATTATTTACTATAAAATTCATTGATGAATATTAGTCATTTAATATTTATTATAAAACTATTTCAAACCAGTAGCGTAATCAACCAAAATATTATCTCTCAACGCATCAGATTAATGTGGTTTATGAATTCCTTTGCATTCACAGAGAGTACATCTTACATATACAACATATCATATAGGTTATACAACAACAGCTCTTTCACGTAGACTCTCGTGTCATTTATCTGATCAACGTACCATTAGACAACACAACAGCAAGCAACACAAGATTTTGCAAGGATGTTAGACAATTACTTTTTAATTATACTAGAATACTGTGAAAAATACTAAACGAATATAGAAGCTATTTACACTTAAATTCTGCAAGCATCCATGAAATAAATATTGTTTCAGATAAATATATATAAAAATATTATCCAAATAGGTTGTTACATGTTGGTGTCATATAATTGGTGCATTAAGCTGCATTTAACTTAGTTTTAATAAGGTAATGACACTTAAAAAAAAAAATAACGATACACTCTAATGCTTAAAAATGCACTTCATTCCCTCCGGCACCCTGATGATGACTCATGTAAGTCGAAGGCTTGGACATAACACACTGAATTTTGGTCAAATTATACACACGCAACCATCAAAGTTGCAAAAGGACATTAGAAAAAAAAAAGCTCATTAAGGATAATAAACACGAAATGGCTATTGTTTTTAACAATAGCCATTTCAAATAGCTACCAAAATAAACTGTGTATATATATATATATATATATATATATATATATATATATATATATATATATATATATATATATATAAAGGTTTAAAAAGAACGAACAAGATATGTCTGCTTAATTTTCTATTGTATTTTTTCCGATGTAACACTTCACGGGTGATTTAAGAGCAGAAGATGAAAAAAAAAAAAAAGGATTACGGATGCAATATAAAAATATACATGTTGTTTATAAATTACCTGGTAAAAAGAATTTAGGATCGATATAATTAAAGCACTATGGTTTCTTTCATGTTTTTTTTCTGTTCCCAAAGTTAATGTTAATGAATAAAACAGAATTTTGGAGTAACTTTTAAAATTACTGGGTTTTAAAGACACAGCTAAAATCATAATTCATGTTTCCAAGGTACAGATGAATCCAATTTACCAGACGAGGGTTGTCTCGGTGTCTATATTTTAATGGATCAGTTATTGCTACGTTTTGGTAGTGGGTAGGAATGTATTTTTTAATGAAATCTAACATCCGTTAAAAGCGTGTCGTCTGGATTTAAAAAAAAATTTTTTTATTGTTAACGGCTAAAATTCTTACAGCATTTTTTCCCTCGTATATTTAAAGATTTTTGGGGTGTTTAGGTAAGAATACTTTTTATTTAACTACAATTTGAAATATTTTTACTTTTAATTTTTAATATACTATATTTCTTTCAAGAACAATTAAATGTAATTAGAATCCCTTACAGTTTGTAGAATTATTATCACATCAAGTATATTACAAATGTTTAAAAATTTTATATTTAAATATTATTTAAGTAAAATTTTCATTTCTCTGATTTAGTAAACTTTATTTATTTATTTAATTACAATTTAAGAAGTTTAGGTAAGAATTCATTTTAATGAACTACAATTTTAATTACAACTTTAAAATATTTTCATTATTAGTTTTTTTAGACTATATTTCATTTAATAGAAGTAAATGTATTTGAAATACTTACATTAAGTAAAATTATTTTTCTATATCAAGTATATTTATATTACGATTTTTTAAAATTTTATATTTAAATATTATTTAAGTAATTTTTTTTTTCACTTACGGCAAAAATAGCTAATTCATTTCTCTGATTTAGTAAACTTTATTTATTTATTTTATTACAATTTAAAATTTAAAAGAAGTTTAGGTTAGAATTCATTTTAATTAACTACAATTTTTTTATGAAAAAACAAGACAATGTAATAGAATTATTTTATAAATTTACATTGCGCACTATTTTGTAAAAATAAAAATGTCTATAAGAACACCGGATTATATATCTTACTGTTCTTTCTTTATATATATATATATATATATATATATATATATATATATATATAATTATTTATTTAAAATATGATTCCAAATCGCTACATAAGAGGTCTCATGTTTCAAAAACAAGAGCCGAAAACTTCAATATAATCCTTTAAATTAAATTGAGTTGAAATTAAATGGCTCCGTTCCATCTTCAAGCGAAAATTTTGTTGAATAACGTATATCTGAAATTTACTTGTTTTAAAAAATTGAAATCAGAATCTCCATGGTAACAGCTAGGCGAATTGTTTAAATTGGTAGGCGAGTGTAGGGTGTTAATAATAAGTAGCGGTATAGAGATACTTTCAAGATGTCAAATCGGGGAAAGGTGGGGGTGTCTAAAATGAAACGGAAGATGTATAAACCTTCGTCTAGTTTGTTTGTCTATGGAGATTTATTTATTTATTTTATTTTATTTTATTATGAAAGGAATTGTGCATATAAAAAAAGAAAAACTTTCGTAACGTTTGTTTTTTGACGACTTCTTAAAGGGTTATCTTTTATGTAAGGTATTTAAACTACTTATTTGGGCTATGGATTATGAAGGGTGTTATGTTGTATGCATGTTTGTAGTTAATTATTCCTACTATGAATCTGATGATTGGGCTATTTGTTAAACAAGTTATTATAATTTTTTTTTTATCTAATAATTCAAACCAAAAATCTGATGGTGTCTACAAAAAACCGTTAACTCGTGTCTATTATTTAATAGATTATTATTATTTAGAAGTTTAATAATGTGCAATTTTTCATGGAGGCACAAAGGGCATGGGTCATCCCAAGCTTTACATGTTCTAGCGTTGTCAATAATCTTCCATTTAACTTTTGGTGTCCTATTTGTTTCCACAAGGCCCTAAACATTGAAAATAAATATATATATTGAAAAATCTCTACATTATAACCAATAACGTGTGTGGTTTCTATTATATATAAACTTAAACTTAAAGATAACTGTCTCTTCTAATTTGAAAAGGGTTAACTTCCTCGACGTAACTCTAGACTTACCAGGCAACACATATCAACCTTATAGAAAACCAAATGCTAACCCTTTATACATACACCCGAAGTCAAACCATCCTCCATCAATAATTAAACATATAACCTCATCAATAGAAAATAGAATTAGCATTAACTCCGCAAACAAGGAAATATTCCAACAACACAATGGCTTCTATAACACTGCCCTAAAAAAATAGTGGTTATAAAATGCTAACATTAACTATAGAGAAAATTACACTGGACATAGGAAAAAAAAAACAGGAAAAGAAATATCATTTGGTACACCCTCCGTTCAACCAAAGGGTTAGTATTAAACTAGGACAGAAATTTTAGCTCTAATTAATAAACACTTCCCCACCAATAGTAAGCTTAGTAATATATTCAATAAGAACACCCTAAAATTGAGTTACAGCTGCTCTGATAATCTTGAACGTATAATAAAAAAACACAATAATAAGATCTTGAACAAACCCCCATGCCAAAACAGTATTAATAAAAATTCTGCACTTAAATCAGACGATAAAAGGGAAAAATTATGTAACTGTAGAAACCTAGAAGACTGCCCATTAGAAAATAAATGTTGTATTAATTCTGTGGTATACCAATGTACTATTTCATCCACAGAGAGCCCTAGCACTAATATGATATACATTGGGTCCACGAAGAATAATTTTAAAGATAGATGGAGGCAGAATAAGTGCTCCTTTAATAATATAAACAAAAGAAATCAGACTTAACTATCAAAATATTTTTGGCACATCAAGTGAAAAATGTTTATTTCCAAATATTATTTAAAGGAATTGTTTTTGTCTGTAGGAGTAATCCAAATTCTTCTTGCACTTGAAACTTGTGTAGCAAACAATATGAGAAATAAAGTATAACATATATTTAAAAAAATCTAATTTATAACCAAAAACATTTGCAGCTTCTTTTTTCTCTTTAAAATATACACTTTTCTCTTTTTGGAACCACTATAATGCCCCTCTTATATATATATATATATATATATATATATATATATATACACACTTGTGGCCTGACGATTGCCTCTAGCATGAAACAGACTGTCGCCTGTAAGTGTTGACTTCTATGTTCACTTTTTATATTTGCACACGCTCTACCTCTGATATCGAGCACTTTATCCCATAAATATAGCACATCTTAAGACTATATATATATATATATATATATATATATAAGAGGGGGCATTATATATATATATATATATATATATATATATATATATATATATATTTCATTAAAAACGACTGACAAGATGCTTTTATTTAATTTTTTTATATAATTTCTCGTGCGATCAAATAATTTTTTTCTTTCCGGATGATAAATTATATAAAAATTGTCCGAATGTTCTTTTTATCCGAGCGCTTTCGGCTATACATTTAGCCATTTTCAAGGATTATGTTTTAACTGCTAAAATTAGACAATTTATATTAAAAAAAAAACTAAATAAAAGTACCTTGTCAGTCGTTTTTAATGAAATGTGCATGAAAGGATTGCTGCCTAAATACACACACACACACATATATATATATATATATATATATATATATATATATATATATATATATATATATATATATATATATATATATCTGTGTGTTTATTAGAAATTGTACAAAAAGGATTTCAGTTAAGAGAAAATATCTGTAGAATCTGTAACATTACTATAAAACTGAAAAAAGGAGACAAGAGGTTAAACGAGAAGAGGGTGGTGAGAGAAAAATCATTAATTCAGTATGGAATATGGCCAAACAATTTCGCATAAGGAAGGACATTTATAATGAAAAAGTGACCTTAAGTAAGTTAGATGTGAAATACAGGCGACTTGAGAGTTCCAGATTTCTAAATATGGTGCAAGCGTTTACATGAGGATAACAATGTTCTGCACGATAACGAAAACAGGAAACGCAATGTGGAAATTTCTTCGAAATATTAATAAAAGGGGAACAGCACTATACGAAGCTAAACACGATGAGAATCATTAGAAAAGAAGATGGCAAAAATGAGTCAGAACGATGTTCTAGACATCAATATAATTCGGATTCAAGTCCGGGAGGTTGACCTTCTTTTATTTCCCTTTGCTCTTTATGCTTCTATCAAACCATATGACTCTTACAGCTTTGTAGATATATAAGAAATTAATAAGTTGTACTGTAATCTAACTTGATCTCAAAAGGTCAGATTTATCTCAGCGATATTAACGTTTCTTCTTAGAAATAACAGGCGCATACGTCCTTTATACATAAATGTATTTATTATTAATTATTTGGATATAAGTAATCGTTAAAAAGAGAACAAAATGTTTTCTTTAAGACAATACCGGCTTACGGCCAGATCTTGTTGACTGGTTCTCGCATGATCATCGAATTTAAACACGGTAAAGCCGAGTCATAACCTAGATGGGAGACCGCTAGGGCATACCAGGTGGTGCAAATTGGACGCGCGGGCACTAACATGGCCTTACGGCTATATCACGAAGGGTGGGGTTTCGTTCGGGGAGGTTGACGGAACTAGCCCGCTTGGACGGTTTTAGATGGGTTTTATTTTTGGCTGGGCCTACGGGCTCGGACATACCCACATTAAAAAGGCCTTGTGCCGCATTCAATTCCTGTGGGTGAATTGATAAATACCATCACGTTGAATCACTGGTTCTCGGACGATCATCGATCGAAGTTAAGCAACGTTAAACCGAGACAATACCTACATGGGTGACCGCTTGGGAATGCCAGGTGCTGTAAGCTTGGATGTGCAGGCAGTATCATGGTCTTACAGCCATATCACGTTGAAACACCTGTTCTTGTACGATTAACGAAGTTAAGCAACGTCAAGCCTCGTCAGTGCTTAGATGGGTGACCGCTTTGGAAAGCTATGCGATTTAAACTTAGACGTGCGGGCAGTATAAGGGTCTTACGGCCATATCACGTTGCAACATCGGTACTCGTATGGTCACCGAAGTTAAGCAACGTCTAGCCTGATCAATACCTAGATGGGTGACCGCTTGGAAATACCAGGTGTTGTAAGCTATACGGGCTCTATACTGGTTTTACGGCCATATCACGTTGAAACATTGGTCCTCGGTGCTGTAGATGTGCGGGTGGTGTAATGTATAACGGCTCCGAATTGGAAATCGGGGAGCCGAGTTCCAGTCTCAGCCAGGTTCGTTATCTTCACTTACGCGAAAATACCTTTCATTAAGGTATGAGACTAATTTTTCTTATAATCTAAAAAAAAAAAAATTTTATTAAATAACCTTTGACAAGCCGAGACAATGCCAAGTGTTGTTGAATAAAATGCATTATGGAAGGTTTCTTTTTTAAAAACGAGTATAATTTGATCCTAAGTATTACCGTAATTCCCCATGTATATGTATTTTTCTAAAAAAAAAAAAAATTAAGCAAAATCAATGGGTGCGTATTATGCACTATTACAGAAATATTTTAAAAATTGCCGTAAAATAAAATTAAAATTATCATAAAAATAAATTAGAATACTATTATTCTATGTTTAAAACCATTTTTTAAAAAATAAGAATAGGAAACGCTGGCCGTAATGCAATTGGAGAGGTACAATTTAGTGGGTTTGATTACCAAACAAGGGGTGCGTATTATGCATGAGAAGAAGCATTTTCCCACAATTTCAGCACAACTTTAGTGGTGCGTATTATGGATGAAGGCGTATTATACATGGGGAATTACGGTATTTTTTCAGGTGATTTTCATTACATATAAAGGGCTAAAATACTCGGAAAATAAGGACGTATATCACCGCTATGAATTTGAAATCACCCAAGGCAGAATCAACATTGAATGGTAAGGAAACTCCGTTTAAAATTAGTTTTTCATCTCTTTTATTCAGGTGTTCGGAAAGAAATTACGTGTCCCACCGTTATGGATAATTTGTCAACCAAGGCAGAACCAGTGTTGGATGGTGGGAAAACTGCGAGGAAAACCTACTTGCCAGGTCAAAAAAGAAGTGTCAGCATTAACCGCTGATAGGGATATTCGTTTGAATGATCCAATTTGTTTGTAATTTGATAAAAAAATAACGGAAATGACATTTTCAATTAGGATTTGCCCAACTGAAAACAAAGAAAAAGAATAAATGTCATAATAATTGAAATTCGTCACTACAATTTAAAATTGAATATATATATATATATATATATATATATATATATATATATATATCCAGCTAAGATGGAATTGTAAGGGAATTGTACACCATTCTTTCCCATTAAATAAATCGTCCACTCGCCAGTAACTTACAATCGCCTGATGAGATGCATTTGATGCATTTATCGAAACACGACTGCAATTGTATAGTTATTTTGACATGTTTTCGATGTAGTATCCTAATATATATATATATATATATATATATGATCTTCTAATTGTATATATATATATATATATATATATATATATATATATATATATATATATATATATATATGAATTAGGAGATCAGTCGATTCCAGAATCGGCTGAGCTCCTAATTTTTTAATTTAAAAAAAAATATATATATTTAATACTAAAGTTTCCTGGTCTTATTCAATTCTGACCATTAACGATTTCAGTATTATGCATGTATTTTTTTTTAAGCATTTCGCTCTAAACAAGGAGGGAGTGCCACATAGAGGGAAAGTAAGAGAAAAGACTGATTATGGGAGGATTGAGAGAAGGATAAAGAAGAAGAAGAAGAAGAAGAAGAAGAACGCGCATCAAGGCACCAAAACATGTCGATTGACATTAGATTTAAATTTTTGAAGATTATAGTTATCAGGGAGCAAGTAAGAGGAATGGAGTTCCACTGTCGGGAAGTACGGAAGAAGGGGAGATAGACACATATACGAATGGTCTGGAGATTCCAAAGAGAGTTGTCTAGTTAGCAGGAGATGATCGCGGACATAAACTCTCAGGCCATGCATGTGTATTTTAGAGTTCCTTTCTAAGGCGAGGAAGGTAACCAGGAATCGAAAAATTAGAGGAAGGAATTGACGAGTTAGGGTTAGTCGCAGAGAGCTAGTATATCAGGAGACTTATCAAAGAGGAACTAAACCACACTGTAGAGGTTGGTACTAATACCACGGATGTTATATATATATATATTAAACACCTTAGGTCATTTAATATATATATATATATATATATATATTAAACAATTTAGGTCATTTAATATATATATATATATATATATATATATATATATATATATATTAAATGACCTAAGGTGTTTGATAAACCTCGAAACGACATGAAAGAACTTCATTTCATTAGTGGGTATAATATGTTACAATTTTTAAAGACATCAAATTGTATTCCAAAATATAACTTCAACAAAACTACAACATAAAACACGCATATCACTGCCTTTAGTAATCATCTCCACACAAATATTTATATGCACAAAAGCTGAGTATCATCTACCATGTATTCAACTGTGAAAGCAGAATAATATCTATCATATTTTTATTATTTCAAAGCTTACAAGAAAATTAGATTTCGGCATTAAATGACCCATGAGGAGTTGATATGCCGTTAAACAAACACAACAAAACAAACGAAAAATAAAAGAAAAAAAGAAGATAATAGTTAATATAATTCATGGAATGAACTTCCTTATTTCCTAGTTTTAGAATCTTAGGTAAAAAAAAAACAAAAAAAAAAATTTGGTTTATTGAGAAATCTGTAAATTTTCCAACAATTATTTGACGTAAAGGTCAACAGAATCGGTGCTATTTTTATAACCAGAACAAAAAGTTGCACAAATGTTCTACATTAATTTTGTTCGGAGCAAGGAGCAAGTTATTTTGTTCTTGTTGTTAGTGCTTGTCAGTAAAGAATGTATATATATATAAAAATACTGCCAGACAAACTAAAAAAAAAAAAACAATCATTTTTCATGACACATTTTCTTCTGCTAATCCGCATAGGCAACAAATCATAAAAAAATAGAATAAATATGGAATAAATATGCATTTGGATAAGTGCGGATTGAAATGAGTTTTTCATGTCAAGGGGGAGAGTACTTTTATGAATTGGAAAAGTCTCAGAACTCGAATAATTATTCGATATGAGAACACTTCTTTGGATAACTTGACATGGTGTTATAAAGTTTTAGTCAAATATGTAGGCTGAAATGTTGCTAAAACAACAAAGGCAATAACAATAGTCCAAAATTTAAATAATAAAAAATCGTCAACTTAGCATTTCCAACAATATCTGAAGTTCGAAAAATATGTCATTCGATAGCTCCACTGATTTGTTTTTTTACGGTTTATCAACCCTTCGCAGGTTATTAAAAGCCAGAAAATATTTTTTAAGATTGCAAGGATATTTTTGGTGATAATAACGGTTTAGGGATACAAAGCTTACAAATTAACCTATGTTAGATAATAGTTTCAGACTATTATTTTATAGTGGCCGTGTATTTTGATTCAGACATTCTGAGGCTGACTTTGAGGTCAGAAGGAAGACAAAATAGGGATGTCGATTCTGATTGCCTCAGCTGAACGTGGGGATTAGTTATAGATTAAAGTTTTAGGGCAGTTGCTGTTTGGAGGTCAAGTTAACATGACGTGTTAGATTGCGTTTGTATAAACCCCCTTCTCCCCAATGGGGAAGGGTCTTTCGAAAATTGACTGCTAAAAATCAAAAATGTTCGTGTTTGAAAGCGGCTCCCTAATAGGGGGTGTAGTAATCCTCACTTGAGAAAGTGTACCCGTCGACGTGGTTAAGAAAATAATAGTTAAGTTAAATGTTCTCTTTATTGATCCTTTTCGTTTCTTCACCAAAAAAACATTTCATGACAAAAATCAAGAGGCGGAAACGACTAAACTAAGATGACTAGCGATCACCGGCCAGATGAAACCAACCACCATCACCCTCCCAAGGAAGTATGTACATATATGACTATTTGGTGCGCAGAGTACAGTTCCTTTCAACAAGGGAGGGTGCTAGAGAACAATGGTTACAACACTATGCCGAAAGGTTGAACCGAATTTTTTAGAACGCTAAAGCCATGCAGACACAAAAGAATTAAAAAAATTGTAATCAAAATATAAAAACGAACAAAAAACCAACTCTGAGTACTTGTTTACATGCATGCTGGAGGGATCATATAAATGAGGCGAAATGAAAACAAAAATTGTAAGGAGAACGTCTTGCATACACGAAATTATAAAGGGTATTTTAGATTAAATAGTTGAAATAAAATAAATATATCTTTTTTTGATAGTTGGGAAAGGAGTGTTAAATATAAAGTACTTGAAATAAAATTCATAAATGAAATTTTTATGGTTCGGTAAGGAATGTTAAAAATTTTTAGACTATTAGTTTTAGTGGCAGTGTATTTTGGCTCAGACCTGAAGCTGACCTTTGAGGTCAGATTGTAGACAAAGCAGGAATGTCGATTTTGAAAGGCTGAGAAGAAAGTGTAAATGAGTTATAGATTAAGATTTTAGGGAAGTTGGTGTTCGGACATCAGGTAAAAAAAACGTGTTAGAGTGCGTTTCTGGAAATCCCCTACCCCCCAGTCGGGAAGGGCCTTTCGAGTGTTGAGAGTGTCAAAAGAAATGAACGTGTGAAATTTTCGTGTTTGAAAGCGGTTCCTTAATAGGAGGTCTAGTAACCCCCACTTGAGAAGATGTACACGTCGACGTGGCTAATAATATAATAGTCAAAGTAAAAGTTCTTTTTGTTGCTGCTTTTCATCTCTAAACCCAAAGGACATTTCGCGACACTGACCAAGAGAAGAAGAGGATTGAAATTAAAATGACCAGCGATCACCGACCAGACGAGATGAGGCCAACCAACACCCGTTCCCGCCCAATGAAGCATATACAACTAGGAGGAGAATATCTGGATTCATGTCTTCCCCAAGGTTATTTACGCGTAAGTGACTATGATATGTCCCGGAAAGGGATATATTTGATTGAAGTAGCTAAGAGGTTTTGGCTACTGTAACCAAGTAGTACATGGTAGCAGTAATCGACTGGTACTCGTCATAGTCACAGGTAATAG